GCGTGTGTGTGCGCGTGTGTGTGCGTGTGCGTGTGTGTGTGTGCGTGTGTGTGTGCGTGTGTGTGTGTCCGAGTATTTCAACTCGGCACCCAAGCAAGCTCCGGCGCCAAAATTTTGTGAGTGGTTTCCCCGGCCAAGTGCCACACCAGGGCCGCGGTACCAATCATCACGTACGTCTAGACCCCGCGTACGAGCGCCTCAAAATTTTGGCGGGAGAACCGATAATTTGGAAATCAGAAAAGCTAGAAAGCTGAAATTTTGGGATTATGTTCCCCGTCCATATAGAGCTCAAAAATTTTAAATTCAGCCCCCAGGTGTGCTCGTTTCCCACGTACGGCCCCGTGAGGGTTCCTGGCGCGAAAATCGCTAGCTCGGGAACCATGAAAGCTGGGAGGCTGAAACTTTCAGCGATTGTTCCTAGTTCATCTACAACTTAAATTTACCAAATTCAGCCCTCCGTTATGCGTGGTTATCACGTATGGCCCTGTAAAAATTTTTGGCGGGAAAGTGGCCAACTCCGGATCTAGGGAAGCTGGCAGACAGGGACTTTCAGGAAATGTTCCTAGCTCATCTTCTACTTAAATTTGCCAAATCCAGCTCCCAGTCATGCGTGGTTGCCACGTACGGCCCCGTGAAATTTTCTTGCTGGAATTTGGGTAACTCGAGAACTGAGAAAGCTAGGAACCTGGGATTTCAAGGGAATGTCCCTTGTCCAAGTATAGCATCGACAATTAACTTCCCGAAATTCGAAGACCAGTATGTCAGAGGTTTCTAGCTAGCGGAATTTCGAGTGATCTTATTACAGCACGAAACATTGCAAAAACGCATGATTGCACGAGGCCTGCCCAGTGCGCGTCGCCAATGATTTAGTTCCCAACGTGATCGCAATGATGTCTTACACTCTTCTATGTACTAGTGTCACAAGGCTTATTTGAATAATGCAAGTGTAGCCTTACCAGTGGACATGGAGCAAAAGGGCAGATCCTGACGAGACAGGAATATTGCACTCGAGAAGTGGTCTGATATCGGAATGATTCAACGGTTACTCGAATGCCATATTCCGTTTTTTGCGGTGGACATACGAGGCCGACGTGGTCTGCTTGGCATCCGTCCTTGATGATTGCTAGCGGCTCGCGCTCCCAGTCATAGAGTGATCCAATCGGCTCAACCTGGCATCCAGTTATGCTCATGTACATTGCTAAATGTGGTTTATGTAAAGCCCAAGTTAATTCGAATTGAAATTCGTGATCTTCCAAAGATCAAAGAGCAAGTCAGCATTCAAATTCCTCTGAAGGGAAGAAGCCGTTTGCTGTAAAAAATGAACTTCTTGAATGAACGCATCCAATTATCGTAGTGGTACTTACGTGGAATGGCATAGTAGGGAATGAAGCTTAGTGTTATTTTACTGCCCACCACCACCGCTTCAACTGGTTGTCCATTGTGAAAAATATCGAATATAACAGCATCCTTCAGTCCCTGTCTCGCCATATCCACATGAGTTAACAATTTTCCCTTGCTGCAATAATGGTTTTGCATGGATGCTGTTGTAAAAGGAAGGTGCTGTCAACAGTAAGGAAATGAAGCTGGCGGCTGAGCCCCTTCGCCTTGCCCTGTTGCCCTTCTGTTCCATGTGATATGCAAACGTCCCGCCTTCTGACTTGAGTTCCCCTCCCGTGATGTATGAATGATTGTTTTTTGTTCCATTTTGCTGTGCAGTAACAGCTTAGAGCTGTTGCCGGTCCCTTCCTGGACGGACCCTGGCACACTGTGCGCGCAGTGTGGAGCTGCTGCCGAATCTCCCTCGTCTTATTATCGTTGATTTGTTGTTTGTGCTTTGATGGGTTTTTTGCAGCTATGCGATGCAGAAAACGCATATTGACGAGCGGTTGTCTGTGTGTCCGTGTGTCTGTGTGTGTGTCTGCCACGCACTTTCATCTCAAGACCTATAAAAGCTGCATGACTGAAATTTAGGG